CAAGTCTTATAAAAAAAGTTCCAAAGAAAAAAAAAATTTTTGGGTAGAAAAAATATGAGCTGTAAATCTTGATAAAATTTTGAAAAAAGAATTATTAAAATGTTTTTTTAGGTCAAAAGATTATGGAATATTTTTGTGTGGTTTTATTTTATAGAATAGTGCTTTTATAATAGATATTAAAATTTTATGCTTTCTAAGGATTTAAGTTAATAATTAATTTTTTTAACATTTAATTATTGTAGTTTTTAATGAATAAAAAGTTTTTGTTTTTATGATTTTAAATTTAAGTTAATATATTTCTCTTTTTTAAAAATTAATAGCTTTTATTTTTATGATAAATATTTTTTTTTAATTATTTTTAAAAATCCAATACAAATATTTTTAAAAAATTAATCAAAAATTTGAATCTTTTTTTATAATAATACTTTTAGTTTTAATTTAGAAATAATGTTTAATTATTATTATTATTATTATTAAAAAAATTTTACAGCTTTTTTTGAAAAAAAATAGATAGATAGATAGATAGATAGATAGATAGATAGAAATATTTATAGTAAATTTTTAATAAAGATAAAATCATGTATCTCAATTCCCATTTTTTAAATTAAAAATAAAATTCAAATTCATTAATTATTATTATTTTATGTATTTTAAAAATATCATTTTTAAATAAAAACTTTTTAATTTCAAAATTATATATAAATCTATGCTTTGAATTTATTATTACAAATTTAAAAACAAAAAAAAACAAAAAAAAACATTTACAAAATATTATTTTTTGTTATTTAGAACCATTATAAGAAAAGATCAAACATTAAACTTAAAATGCACAAAAAAAATTGTTTTAACCATAAATACTTTAAAACCGTTTAAATCCATTATAATCATTTTAAACACTTTTTATATATATATATATATATATATATATGTATATATTTCAACCTCTATTCTAACCCTTTTTTCATAAAAATATAACTTTCTCACGCACGGAGTTAGGGAACCATATGACATTGTGCCCAGGAATAATGATGCATTATGTAATACTTAATTTTCTTCACTTCCCGTGTAGGACTGTAGAACGAAAAACCTCATCATCATCATCATCAATGCGTCTATTCTGACAAGAATTCCGCAATTACGTTCCAAAATCGTTAGTAGCAAAGAACATTAAAGCACAGCGAACTCTAATTTTTGGTTTTTATCAATAAATTCCGTGATTCAAGAAAAATAAATTGCGTACCACTACTAGACTTGAACAAATTCCATTATGTTTCGCCGGTGCATAAGTGGGATCATTTCAAATCGAGCCATTTACTTTCAATGATGAAAATCTGTTTTCAACCTCACATTCAATAATATAATAATAAATAATAATAATAATAATAAAAGATACTGTAAATTTATGAGACCGTAAATAAAAAAAAGTTTTTCAATGTTATCAAGTCAATATATTGACTTTTAGGGTTAGTACAAAGAAATATAATAATAATAATAATAATAATAATAACAAAGTAATCAAATTTATTTATACCCGAAAAGCCTAAATCTTTTTGAAATTCATACATAATGGTGGGAGCCTGATGATCGGAGTTGAGAAAAAAAAGTCCAATTAGATTTGAATTTGTTCCACGTTTGTGTTTTTTGAAAGAATTGATAATAATTCTTTTTACAAAGTTTCACTGATAGTTTTGCTCAGTAAGCCGCAGGAAACGTAGTAATCGATTATTCTAAAGAAGAGTAACAGGAACATAGATATAGCAAACAAAACCAGGTTTATTATGGATTCGAGTACAAAGATCCTTTAGCCAAAATGTGAATCAAATGAATTATATATTATCACTATTATGATTATTATTATTATTATTATTATTATTCATTATCTTGCTGATCATGATGATACTTGCTTCGCCCATGACGACTTTGGTGATTGGATTCTCGGTGGGATGGCGAGCTTTGTATATTATATATAAATACAGTGAACGGTTCAAAAATTTAATTCTCAATTGAATCAATTGTATAATAGTAGTAATATAGAAAAAAATTACATATTAAATATCCGGGCATTATACTTTTACCTATTTTTTGTGGTTACTCTTTATCACTTTTCAAAAAAAATAAATTATATTCACTTTCAAATAACAAAACATCTTTAATATGGAAACTGAAAATTGGGAAGAAATTGGTGAATGGGATGTTGATGAAGATGTAGAACTTGCAAAACGAATCACCGTCACTTCGGTGAACCCAAATCTGGGTATTGGAATTTTTAGTGCTTCTGCGATCAAAGCTGCGAACAACGGTATTGTTGCTTCAAATTCTATCAATTCAGCTGAAGACTCGGATGAAATGAATGAAGAGGATGAAGTATATGAATACATTGAGGCACATAAAAAAGCAACATTTGCCAATATCTTAAAAGGAAATACACGTCAATCGAATAAAATTACTTCTTCTGTCCTTCCAACTACTACTACTACTACTACTACTACTTCAAAGGAGAAGCGTAAAAAACAAATTTTCACTAATCGAAAAGAGGACACAGGTGCAGAAGGATTGGGCGATCACGAATGCAATTGTTTGGAAATTGGTGACCCATTTTCACCAACAGAGAACGAGGAAAAAAAATCTCGTAGTTCTCGAGTTCGAGAAAATATCGTAATTGCCAAACAACACAATCGACAACTATATGGTCGGTTGATTAGTAAGGAGGATGTAGAGGCTTCATTGTCTCGTGGTGATACGAATCGTAACAGGCAGTTTGTCGAGATGAAAGCTGCTAAAAAGGCTATGAAGAGTAAAAAGCGATTGAAGGATGCGAAGTAGATGACGAATTTTGTATTTGTATTTTGAATAATTTTTAAAAGACAGTATTTATTAGTAAGGAATAATAGACAACAACACAATATACATGTATTGTATATTTTGTATTTTTCATATTTACATGGCAATCAAGCCACTTTTGAATCAATAACGCGATTATAATTGTAAAAGAACTTTTTACTTGGTTTGTTTTTTATTATTATAAATTCGTATCTGTTTGAAGGTTTCAATTCTTTGTGCGAAACATGAAAGAATAAAGTAAACAGAAAAAGTCTAAAAATTAAACTTGATGTTGATAATGATGATAAATATCATGAATAGGCTCTTGTTTACGTGATTGGCTAAATCAGCCTTAAAATGCTCAACTATTAACTACCTTTTACAGAAACTCCTATTGAAGTTAGCAAAAAATTAATTAGAATTAAAATTTCTTTCTTAAGCTTAGGAAAGACGAGACTTTTTTTAAAAGACACAATAAAATGTCTGATCCAGAACTTACTACTATAGTCTGGCGTCACCAGGAATGGATACTTCAGGTAAAATCTATTTTTCCGTTGCTCAACTTTCTCTTTGATTTTACCTTTATTTTATATACAAATTTTTATCAACCACTTCTTCCCTACAATTCCTTCTTTTTGTAACCTCAGCAACCTAACGGACTCAACTCAAACAATGTACTCGATTACTTCTCCGAATCACCATTCTGGGAAAAGCACTGTAATAATGCGACGCTCAAAATGCAAACCCAGTTTAATGATTTAAAGGATCTGATGTTTGAATTAAAGTGAGTATTGGTTCTTAATCTTTTATCTGAGGTATCGGCAAAGGAACAAGATTCATTTATTTATCATTATCTGTCAATTCGCTTTGATGATTTGCAAAGGAAAATGCGAGGAATCGAATTCCAAGTGGTACACGAACGGCCACCTTGTCTTTGGGTCATACGTAAGCAGAGACGATGGGACGAGTCACAAGGTAATTATTATACTTTCTTGATGCATAGTCAATAATATTTTGAAGTTAAAATTCTTAAAACATAGCTGCCTGCATTTTTTTCAATGAAATAATTTCAAAGTTAACCCAACTTTATTGTTATCACCTTTATTCTGCAGTAACACCTCTTGCCACTTATTATGTATACAAAGCAGACGTCTATCAAGCACCTGATCTTTATTCGATTCTTGCAAATCGTGTGGTGAGCTGAAAATAAGTTTTCACTGTATAAGAATTAATTTTTATTATTTCACTAAAATAGTGTAATATTAAAAATCTATGATACAGTTGATCAGTCTTTGGTCATTGAACATGGCATTTAATGCATGCTATGAGCAAGTAGATTTTCATCCTGCTACCGGTTATACGTGGAAGACCGCAGAATCACAGGAATTAAAAGAGAACGATAAAAAGAGTGAGCAAAAGTGTTTATATATTGCAGTTTCATCTGGCTATTAAATTTTCCTAATCACCTTCCTCCCCCCGATAACAGAGATCAAAGTAATTGCTCAAGAATCAAAAGAAGCTACCGAATTTCGTTTAAACACTACAAGAGCATTAGATGCTGCCAATAGCAAGATAGCTGATCGGAGAGCCGAGGCCCTTCGAATATTAAATGAAATGGCTACACCTGCAGGAAAAAGTGCTGATGCTGATGGGATCAGTTCACCTCATAACTTGCCTCAAAAAAGGCGAGCAGCTGGGTAAAACTTTCAATAAGATAGTTTTCATATTCTTTGGTTAGCAAAACATCATAATTGACATCAGGAAAGTGAAAATATATTTATTTTTTCTAATGTATATTAATTGTATATAAATTGCCATCTCAAAAGATAATATTTTGTAGATTTATCGAACAATTGTCAAATATATTTAAGATTTTTGAGCAATCGATTCCTTTAAAATCCTCACCAAACTTTACACAATCGCCAATCAATAATGTGTTAAAGCTCATATGCTGATTGTATATTTGAAAGTACGAGTTGCACTAATTTATCAATAGTAATATCTGATCATAGTCTCTTTTAGTTATGGACCAAATATGGTTAAAAGCTTCGATTATTAATTAAAACCCAGCCAATATATCAACAAAAAAAGTTTAGCAAATGATATATCGGTTCTCCTAATGGGTCAACATAATTGCGATACAATATGATAAAAATGGCCTAGAGTTATCATAAAATTCAGCTCCCTTGGCCTAGAGGTTAAGGCGTCGTGCTTATAGGTGACCTATCCTATACAGGAGCACTAAACGCGAAGTACGCGGGTTCGAATCCCGCAGGGAGCAATTATTACAATCAAAACATATTGATTGTAAAAAGGTTATTTTTGTTGGAATTTAGGGAAAAAGAAAAGTGAACATTCTACAAAATATTTGCGTGATAGTGTATACAATTGGTAACAAACTTTTGGAAATTTGTAATTTGTAATTATCAGTTAAAAAGTTTGGGGTACAAAAATTATTATTATTTCATTGAATAATTCACCAAACTAGAATTTCATTATTTGGATGTCCATATTTTAATGTTCGTAATAAACCCCTCAAAAATAATTTGATTGAACTTTTCGAGATATTGACTCATTATAATTTTTTTTTAAAATCTACTCGTTGACTAGAAAATGCGTAAATCTCTTGAACCCGGAATCACTTTTAAATTATAATTATTATTTTGGGTAAATCGTTGTAGTATCCCATGCTATTGCTATTGGTTTTGCTATTGCTATTGCTATTCCTATTGCTATTCCTATTGCTATTGCTATTGCTATTGCTTTTGCTATTATATAAATCTCTTTACACACTTTCTCCAAACTTAAAAGCTTAATATCATATGTTCCCAAAGAATTTTTTGAATAAATCATCGAGCCGATTCCTTTACTACCTTTTATGTACTTTTATAATAAGATGAATTTTTTAGCTTTAGAATATATTTGAATATATATTTTTTTTAATTTGATAAGTTCCTTAAAAATTTTTTTTTCTGAGAAAAAGTTTTTACGTGGTATAAAAAAAAAAAAAAACTCGATTTTTGAATATTCTGCCTGAAATACGAAAAAAAAAAAAAAAAAAAAAAAAACTTTCAGGTTTCCACGAAATATGGGGGATGCTGTAACAAAATCAGATAAAGTGAACGGGTGACGTCACTGACTTGGCAATCTTTTGGCATCTCTCTACTTCGTATTCTCCCCACAATTACTAACACTCTTGAATGTTGTCGCGAAACATTTCTTTTGGGCATACCACAATATCCGACATACCATATGACACAGTTAAGCATTCATGAAGCTTGCTGTTTAGAGACAAGATCGTGAGGATACCCTCTTTGGCGGGTTGTTATACCTATGTGCAAACTTTCTCCATAGTTGTATACTCCTTCAAGTCTTTTGCCAGAAAGCATTATGTCGAGCCCGTTTATTAATATTTTTGTGTCTCTTTTTTTTTTTTTTTTTTTTATTCTTCTCTTTTTGAAAAGTTATATCTTGAAAATATATATTCACTTTTACATTACTCAAATTAATTTTATTTTTATTTAGCATTAAAATTCACTATTTGAATAAACAATATTTCTATCTTTTTTCATCAAAATCTTATTTACACTTTTAAAAATTTAAATTTATTTTATGATAAATAAATAAATATTGTTTTGATTATATATTATAGAAATATTATAAAATAAATATTTAAATAAGTATTAAAACAAATTTTCAAATAATTATTAAAACAAATAAAATATTAATTTGTTTAATATTAAATTTATTAAAATAATAATTACTATTATTATTATTAATTAATTAATTAATTAATTAATTAATGATTTTTTTTTGAATTTTATATTAATATATATTATTTTAATTTTAATTTATAAATATTTATAGTAAATTAAATTTAATATAGATTTAAAAGAAAAAAAACTGTATAATATGTAAAAATTTCAACATTTTATTTATTCTTAATTTGGTATGATTATTTTCGATATTTGTATTTTTTTTTTTTTTTAATAAAACAAAAGAATACTTTTATAATTATATATTGACTTTTTGTTAAAAATCCATTTAAAAATGTCACTTGTTCAAACCAATAATATACAATAATAATTACTATGAAAGATTAGCTTAAAATCTCTATTAACAAATTGAACCCAGAACTAATTCTACTGATCAAGAATGAGCAACTATTAAAGGATGGCAAGGTCCAAATCGAAAACTATTATAAGCGGTGGAATAAACGTGGCCTTTAAGTTATTGGGTTAATATGTAAGTAGGAGCGCCAACCAAACCTCTCATTTTTACTTGCGAATAGTGCCTCTTTTGGAGACGAAATAGCCCTCACATTAATGGTATCGATCAAGAAACTTAAAATGAAATTGGTAAATTGTTAAGAGTTAATGGTGAAAATTTAAGATGGTGATACTTGTCATAACTTTTCGCCAAAGATTGAGCTCGGATAAAAGGGTGCAAAAATTTGAAGAGAAGAAGCAGAAATCCCTTCAACTTATGATTATTCGGACTCGAAATTTGTAGTTAATTTGTTTCCCAAATATAAATTGTGAAGGTTTTTAATGCCATATGAAGGCAGTAGAAAAATCAAAGATAATGAATTAAAAGGAAGTTATGCCTTTGAATGAAAGAAAAACTCCGCGATCCAGAAAGCTATGCAAAAAAGTGTGGTAAAACTAAACAATTAGAGAGAGAAAGCACTTTGAGTCGAATATCATCAATGTAATTATGGCAATAACAGCAGCACGCCAATATCAGTATCTTCTTTCGTCTAATAATCAGTGTCAATGCTACCTGGCTTTTTCAACAGAATTACTCATTTATGTGGAGGAACCTCATCATGATAAAACGTATCATGCAAATGGGTAAAGAAGAATTATTTTTAAAGACTCTTCTATTCTTATTGCTTCATTTGGTCAAATTTTTACGTGGGGAGAGCAAGTCTTCATACCAAAAATTTTGGTCGCTTGTGATCCTCTAAAAACCAGATTACCTAAAAGACAAAAAATTTTGAAAAATGTCTTGCTCATATAAAGCGGCATTTTTTACGGTACCTCCTTATTTGCAACCAATTTGTGAGGTAGTTACCGTATGGATTTTTACCACGTTATTCTCTATACCGGCTTGCTTCGCTGTAATTTTCGTGGACGCGCCAATGAATCTTTGGAAATATTATACCTCACAAGTTCCAAAGACCATCGTTATTACTGATTCTAGGTGAGTCAGTTTACGGAGGGTTCTTAAAGATCTATGAAAATATTAGAAAAGGATACAGAGCTTCGGATAAATAAGCGTCTCTATGAGAAAATTTTTGATATTCAGCAAATTTGAATGAGGGAAATTTAATAAAAAACGCGTAAAAGATTTTTTATTTAAATTATGAAACTTGATTAAAAAGTTCAGGGATTGGAGGGGCATTGGCAAATACCTACGCAGATCTTAATACTAATCTCGGCTTAATTGGTCGAGATAAAGGTGAATTAGAGATTTGAAAATTACTGAAAAAATCCACTTTGGAAATTAATATCGGACTTTTATTGAAACAATACTTTGAAAGACCGATTAGAAAAGGTGGCGCAGGCGTGTCGAAGAAAAGGCGCAATCGTCGAAATTATGAAGATTGAATTCTCCAATTGCGAACAGTTGGCACAAGAATTGGAACGGTTCGATGAAAAGTATAAGATTGATCTATTGTTTACTAACGCTGGTACCTGTTCGAATACTACTTTGATCCTTGTTCGCTCTGTTTGCCTATCGATATCAACCACTTGGTCTTAATATTATGAAAATCTTTATTTCAATATGAAAATTTGTTTTTTTTTTAGCTCAAGCAGGCGTGAGCAATAACGAATTTGGCCTAAGAGATTGGACGAATCAATGGGAATATTTTACTAGCTCTAACATCACTGGGAACATCGAAACAGTGATGGCAGTCTTTAAACGAATGCAAAGACGGAAGCATGGCCAGATAGCAAGTAAGTCCTGTATAATTAATTTCCAAACTACTCAAGCAGCTGTTTTTAAAAAAATTCTTTTCAGTTATGCTACCAGTAGTCGGCTTGACATTCATTCCCCAGATGTGTTACTACAACGCCAGCAAAGCAGCGCTTCTCTCGCTCGCACGTGACATTCGCTACATAGGCCGTACAGATAACATCCGTGTGAATGTCATCTCCCCTGGGATTGCTAAAGGTCAATCGATGCCTGTGGCTACCTGGCTCGTGGGTGATATGAATACGTTGGCACAACGTATTAAAAATCAATTATATGCGGATGTGTTTTTGATTGGATGGCCGTTCAGTGAGGATTTGGTGTTTTTTGGATTATCGGTGTTGCCGCCTCGTGTTGCTGAGATTGTGCATTGGGCGATTGCTAAAGCTTGGGGCAAATATCAGAATCGGGTGATAGACCATTTAGTTGAGGTAAAGAAGGGGCGAATACCAGAATAGAACTTAGACAATCATTCTAAAAAGTAGCTTATTACCATTAGAAAAAATAGAGAGCTGCTGAGGGTCTGATTTCTGGTTTCTAGAATTTTTGAGAATCTGTCATGCATCCTCATAAATTAAAATTTTTTTGACAATCTTGATATGAAAAAATATTAACCAAAAAAGGATGATGACAAACATTTACTATTTTAATTGGTCATTAAACAACATTTCAGCGAAAAATCCAACCGGACAAAAAAAAAGATGGTAAAATCCCAAACCAAAACACCTAATGCTTTTTGATTTATCGCCGTGAATATATGAAAGCTTTAAAAAACAATGGCTACGAATTTAAACAGCTTGAAATTTCTGTAATAGCTTCTGAAGCTTGAGGTTTTGAATCAAAATCAGTATCATGAAATTGTCCAGGATGCAGCTAAACTTATACCAGAAATGAGGACCCCGTTTCTTACGTTGATAGTGATTAGAAGGTTTATGTTTACCAAAAGCTCGAGCTATGCTCCCCATGACAACTCTGTAACCATCTGTTTTTGAAACGCCAAACATTTCCCAAACAAAAAGGTCGAGAAATTTTTTTTTCGTGAGATTGAGATATCTACTGAAGCGCAAGAAGCTTTCTTGGCCGTTCCTAGTTCCTTCTTGGAGATCTCTGCAAAATTACGATTTTTCCCGCATAGTTTATTGCAAATTGTAAAAAAATTTCATTCAAAGCATTAAAACAGGCTTAATTCAAAATGTAAAATCAAATTTAAGGGTTAATTAAAGTCTTGATCAAATTTATTACTAAGAATTAGGTAAAAATTTATATGGATTCATAATGCCATTAGGATCAAAGCTTTTCTTA